CAATGCTGTTCCTGTGCACCTTTAAGCTGCAACTGACCCACAGCTGACCCCTATCACACAGGAGATGAGCCATCTTTCTCCCACTGGAGCAGCTAGTGGATTTGAACAGCGTACCTCTGAGTGAGCAGTGCGATTCCTTACCACTAAGCCACCAGAGCTCTCAGGAAATGTATTTTCTGATTCCTTGACTGCTGTTACCATTGAGTATGGATTATGGATCTAAGTAAAACTAAAAGGTTGACAACTTCAATCTTTTCCCCATCAATCATGACATTACCCATTACTGTAGTGAGAATTTTCATTTTTTTGATGTTGAGAAAAAATCCATACTGAAGGTTGTAATCTTTGATCTTCTGCAGCATTTTAAGTCCTGTTCACTCTCAGCATGCAAGGTTGTGTCATCAGTATAATGAAGGTATTTTATGAGTCTTCTTCCAATCTTGCTGTCACATTCTTCTTCAAGTCCAGTTTCTAGAATGATTTGTTCAGCATATGGATTGAATAGGTAATAGGAGAAAGAATACAACCTTGATGCAAACCTTTCCTGAACTGGTTCTTGGTCTAGGTAAAAGTTTTCAAAGAGCACAATTAAGTGTTCTAGGATTCCCATTCTTCTCAATGTTTGCCATAACTTTTTATAATACAACCTGTAAAAATACTTTTGCATAATAAGAGACGCAAATCAAAACCACAATGAGATACCGTCTTACCCCAGTAGCAGTGGCAAAGTTTAGCAGGGCAGCAAGCAGTAAATGTTGGAGAGGATGGAGAGGTTGGAGCTCTCATCACACTGTTAGTGGGATTGTAAAATGGTACAATCACTCTGGAAGAGAGTTTGGAGTTTCCTCAAAAAGCTGAACATAGCAATTCTGTATGACTGAGCTATTCCACTACTAGGAACATACCCCAAGGAAATTAGAACTGACACACAAACGGAGATCTGTACACCAATGTTCACAGCAGCATTATTCACCATCACAAGATTATGGAAACAGCCCAAATGTCCACCTACAACTGAATGGATTGAGAAATTGTGGTACATTCACACAATGGAATACCAAATGGCATTCAGGAGCAACGATTTTAAAAAAATACAGACTTGGAAGAGACTGGAGAGCAGTATGCTGAGTGAACTATCTCAGCCTCATAGGACAAACACTGCATACGACCATTATTGTAACAGCGGGGTGGGAGCAGAGGGGTGAGGATGAGTAGGGCTGAAACCACAGGGATGTACAGTTTGGTGGGTGGAGGGAGGGGGTGAAGGAAATGGGAAGGATCCAGCAGGGATGTGGCAAGATTGGGTAATGACTGGTGAGGTCGAATGGTGATTGATCTTCTAAAAGGCAACGCATGGGAATGACTGTATGAAACCCATTATCAATGAAGAATAGTGTGAAACATACTGTATCAACTTTGTGAACAAACTAATATAAAAACAAACAAAAAATAGAACTTGGGGGGAGTAGAGAGAAAAATGTGCAAAAATGAAAGAAAAAAATCCAACTTTTCCGTAAACTTTTGTGAAAATAACAATAAAAAAATTTAAATGCCTTTGCATTGTTAATGAAAGAGGAAAGTATCTTCCTGGTATTTACTCTGCTTTCAGCCAAGATTCATGTGCAATCAGTAACGATATCCTTCATTCCATGGCCTCTCGGAATTGAGCTTAAATTTTTGACAGTCTCCATACTGTTCAAGCCATTTTTCAATCACCTTCAACAAGATTTTACCTGTATGTGATATTAATGATATTCTAAGATAACTTCTCGTGGTTGCTGTGATGCCGAAGCCTGTGACAGTGATGTGTCAATCGTGGTAATGGGAACCCATGGTGGACAGTGTTGGCTGGAGCTTCCCGACTAAATCAAGCCTGGAAGCGGGAGCGGCATCCACTTCCGAAATGGCTTGCCTCCAGAAACTCTATGTACGAACAGTGCTCAGGTCTTTCGTTGATAGGGTCGCTATGAGTCGTCTACGACTCCACGGCACCAAACAACAACACAACAAGATAACTTCCACATTCTTTGGAATCACCTTTTTTCCAAATGGGCATAAATATAAATCACAGCTGGCCAGGTAGCTGTCTCCCAAATTTCTTGGCATACATCACTGAGCATATCCAAGGCTGGATCTGTTCGTTGAAACGTATTAATTGGTATTCCACCAATTCCTGGGCCACCCTCTCTTTATCTTTTCCTTCAATGCAGCCTTAACTTCTTTGTTCATCTTACCATCAGTTCTTGATCATATACTTACTTCTTTCTAACATATGGTTCAGTGTTAATTCTTTTAGGCACAGTGACTCCGTATATTCCATGTTTTGATACTTCCTCTATCAGTCAAGATTTTGCCCGTAGAATTCTTCAGTATTGCAAATTGAAACTGTTAAATGCAGGTATGTCAAATGCCTCCAACATCACTTCAGTGAACAGTCTCCCCCCACCCTCCAGCCCACAACCACAGGCAACGGTGGTGAGGGCAGAGTGCCCATGCAAATGCAGGCAGAGAAAAAGCCTGAGCTAAGAGCTGGTTAAGTGAGTGCAACCTGAAAAATGGATGGTGGCGGCATGAAAACTACTCAGGGGTCATCTTCACAAATGTAGAAAGGGAAAATGTGTCAGAAGACAAAGCCCGCAGTGTATCTGAGCAAATAATTTGTCTAGAAGCGGCGTGAGGTAGGAGAATGTGCTAACTTACAAGAAATGGCATATGGTCTGTTGGAAGAAAAAAGATTAGACTGGAGACCTGTCAGTGTCGAAGACATAGTAACAGGTAAGAAGGGGGTCAAAGATCTCTGTTGCTGGTTAAGACATACCAGAAAGTAGTCAGCATAGACGAGGCATGAGCTAGTAAGGTGACAAAGTAATCTGATCAATTAACATGTATTAGTCATCATTATCAATGACCCCAGGCCTGGTCTGATGAGCCCATGAACAGAACAGTCATGGTGGTAGATGTGGAACCTACAGTATCTAGTGTCCCTTTCTCAGCAATTTAGCTACTGGCACCTCTCAAATGCAGTACATTTCCATAATCAACCTCATATTCTAAATGGCTTTCCTTCCCTGTTGTCACTATAGATGAAAGATAAATGGCCTCAGAAAAAGGCCATTAGATAATGACATTAATGGGGCCCACCAGAAGCTCCCTGCTAGAATCATTTTCCTCCCAATGTGTGAAGACTCATGAACATCTTTTTAAGCTTTTCCTCTGTCTCAAATCTTTAGTCCTCCTCTTCCATCTGTACTGTGCCCAACTCTGGTTCAATCTATTGTTATTTATTTCACCCACATCTAAAGTTACTGAATGCTGCTGAAGAAAAGTTCTACATTTCACAAAATTCTGATTTCACTAAAACTTCTCAGTTGATGCCTTTCCTTTGTACTTCACAGAAAACAAATCACTGCTCAAGCACTGAGGCCAGGAAGCTGGGCATAATCTTTGACATTTTCATTTTTTTAAAATCCTATTCAATCTGTCTCTTCTAAAAATTACTTTAAAATCTTCAAGGCAAAAAGGAGAAAAGTCATAAAGAATCAAGCATTTTATTTCTCTACAGAAAAGTAAATAAAACCTACATTACTTTTTAAAAGAACCTGCCATGCAAACAACAAATGCTAGCAAGGTTGTGAAGAAACTGGGACCCTTATTCACTGTTGGTGGGAGTGTAAAATGGTGCAACCACTATGGAAGGCTGTATGGCGCTTTCTCAGAGAGTTGCAAATAGAAATGCCATTTGAACCAGCAATGCCACTACTGGGAATATACCCTAAAGAAACCATAACTGCCACCCAAGCAGATATATTTACACCCATGTTTATTGCTGCTTTGTTCGCAACAGCAAAGAGCTGGAAACACACAAGTGCCCATCAACAAACAAATGGATAGAGAAGCTCTGGTATATTCGCACAATGGAATACTATGCAGCATTGAAAAACAAAGAACTCATGAAATATTATACAAAAGAGGTGACCATGGAGGACATTACTCTGACTGAAATATCTCAGTAACAAAAAGACAAATACTGTATAAGGCCACTGTTATAAATAGGACAGACAGGGAGGTTGGGGGAGAACTAAGAAAAGAGGGGATAAATAATGTATATGGCATTGAAAAAGATGAGGGAGGGAACTGTGTAAAAGGAACATATGATTAAGTATTATTAGTATGACAAGAGTCCAGAATAAGGGCTGTATGGCAAAGTGGTTGCGGGTGGGGAACTGTGTAACAATGAAAGAACTTTTTTCACAGAGAAAAAAGTGAACTGGGGTGGGGGCAGGGAGGAAAATGTGCAACAATGAATGAATAGAAATCAAGTTCTTTATAAACTTCCAATAAAATCTCAATTTAAAAAACCCCCAAACTTTCAAATTAAAAAAAAAGAACCTGCCACATTTTATGTTAAAATACTGGTAATTTTATAAATAAAATTTTAAACATGATAAAATGCATCCAATATAAGGTTACAACAATGATTGTGAAATATAAAAACTTAGATTCATCTTTGAAAAACATTTAACTTAATCTTACAAAAATATCAAAGTTAAAAAGTGCTACACATGGTTTCATTTCATTCTATTATTAAAGTCGTTCTAACACAATATGACCTAAAATAAAGGAAAGGTGAATCAGACATCAAATTCAACCTATAATGCCTGGAAAAAGAGCTTAAAGAACATTTCTAGACCAGGTGAAATGGTTTGCAAGCTCACTGAGTTCAATACCAGAAAAAAATCTTGTCACATCCCCGGTATTAATTACTCAGCTTTGCTCTAATAAAGAGGAGACACTCTACTTTCAATCCCCTGTAAGGAGTTGTCTCTCTGTCTCTCTGTTGGCTCCTAATTTTTAGGAGAAAGGTTTCCATTAGGATTTTCGTGTTCAAATCCTATGTCAACAGTGAAGCTTTGAAATACTGAAGGATTCTGTGTTTATACAATAAAATCATGAAGCTAATTCCACATGAAGAGGAATTCATTTGGTCACTTGGTTAGTTCCTTGCTGAGGTAGGATCATGTCCTTCTTTTTCCGAACACCGTCCTGACTATACAACCGCTGGCTGTACTGGGAAGGGCTCGAGTGCCTTCTCCGCATTCTTCCAGTTGTGAAAATTCTCTCTGTACCACTCAACTAAGAGAAAAAAGACAAGAAGAAAATGTGAAAACCAAAAACACAGTTAACTAACACTGACAGAGCTCTTGATAGGGAAGATAACCCACGTTGCGTGGACAGGCCTGCCTGTCAGCTAACGAGCAGACAAGAGTTGTCTAGTGACCAAAACCAATTTGATTTTGACTGAAATGACGATGTAATCAGGAGGTATTTTATTTGGAAATTAAAGATTTGGAATTAAAAGTCAATCTTCTTTTCATTTTAGCATCAATAGTCCTTCAATACTGCATTTGCTCTAATAACTGTTTTAACATATGGATTTGCTGGAGTAAGTGTTTAAGATAAATTCTGATCTTAAGGGACTCGGTAGGGTAAGGGTTGTTGGTCATTTGTATTCTAGTAATAACACCAGTTTTAAAGTGATGGAAAAGAGCAAACTATTTTGCTCACATAATGACGGTAACAAGGTACAGCGACATGAAGGCAACTCCCTTTTATTTATGTTAGCTCATTATTTATTAGTTAGTTATTATTTTATGTTGCTGAACTATCAGTAAAGAATTCTTAGACAAACTACCAACAGCTTACAATTACCCTTAAGTTGCATTTTAAAATTCAATACAAGTATATCAAAATGGGAATCAAAATTCTTTCCTTACATTTCATAGAAAATTTTCTCAGGGAAACATTTCTCACTAAAGCGTTACAATATGCACAGAGTTTATACACATTTTATAGCTTTTCCTACATGTGATGAACTGATTTTACTTGTTTCGATTCAAAAACTCTGAACACACTCAAAACCATAATCCTCTTTCAACAAATCTAAGAGGCCACTTAGATGCTCTCAAAAGCAAGAGAGAAGGGCCAACAATAATTTTAAAGCATCAATGACTATAAAACATCTACCTCTCAGGGTTGTGAACAAGAAAAAATGTCCATTTCAGAATCAAACAGATAACTGATATATGCTAATAAAAGCAATAATCCATAAAAGTTGCACAATCAGCCCAGATGCTGTGCCCGCAGGCAGTTCTCATCCACCAACAATCCCTCAGAAGGAAGACAGACAACCTCCTCCCAGTGACTTCCGCCTGGGAACTTGACCAATGGAGGGTCAGCCATGGTTCTTTCTAATTTGACAGCAATGAGTTTTGAGAAAAAAATAAAGGAAGTTGTTGTGTATCACCAAGTCAGAAGTGACTCCTAACTGACCCTCCAGTGGGTTTTCAGAGGCAGTAAATCACACATGAACCTGCCCACCTTTCTCTCACTGCAGCTGGTGAATTCGAACCAATTGTGGCAGCACAGTTCTTTACCACTAATCTATTAGAAAAAGGAAGATAATCTTCCCAAGGTAAAGGAAAACCAATTAGAAATTGGTCTAGAAAGGTAAGCAGCTCTGGTAGCACAGCCTATAATATGTAACACTGCTGATAAAGTATGGATGTTACAGATAGTTTACAATTAGAAATGTATTAATTATCAAAATTAGAAAAATGAAAAGTATTCATCACACTGTGTTTTTGTACAGTATTAAAAAAAATATATTACTGTTACTTTAAATTTTTCTGAGCCAAATCCTCCAAAAAAGGTTACTCATTCATAACATACTTGTTTTCTTAATTCCTTCTTCCCAAGGAACCTTAGGTCTCCATCCTAAACCATGCATTTTTTCTGACTTCATTGGGTATCTCATGTCATTCGTTGGTCTTGGAAAACAAAACAGATTTAAAATGGAATTGCGAACATATACTTATAAAATTGCAAACATATATTTATAAATGTAACAATAACACGACTTTCATCTTTACTATAATTTAAATTCTTTTCTTAAAAGAAAAAATGTTCACCTGATGACATACTTTTGGTAGAAAATTTGAAAAATAAAAGATGGATAGATCCATATTTTTTAAAAACAACCCAACCCATGGTCTCAGATGCCTAATCCTTTCCATGATTTCTCTTTTTCTGATTTCAATTATTATCTAGTTATGCATACAGTTCTTAAGCACACAGAACAGACTCCCTAAATATTTCAGAAATGAATGAATAAACACGCAAAAATTCCCCAGCACTGTCACACACAGCACCCTGGGTCAGACACTGTGTTGTTGTTGGGTGCCATCAAGTTGACTAAGACTCAAAGTGACCTCATGAACAGCAGTTAGCAACTCTGCCCTTTCCTGTGCCAGCTACAACACATGTATTATAATTAATTCTTAAAACACTTTTTTAAAAAAAATACTTTTTGAGGGAGAATTATCATTCCTATTCAAAACAATAGAAAACCTCAGATTTGTAAAGGATCAATTACTTTATTTAAGTTGTAAAAATAGTAAGTAATGAATCCATTGTTAATTTTATATTACATTTACAATTAAGGGGAAAAAATATTTTAACAGAAAATTCAAATGAGATCCAGTAGTTTTAAGCCCGCCTATTTTACAAGTTTATAAGAACCTTTATAAAATTCCACAACCTTTCCTGGATGTTTTAAAACTTGTTACTCACCTATCATTAACATAATCAACCCAGTTTTCCATTTCAGATTCTGAACTAGTCTCTTTGATCTGTCAAAATGGAAAAAGTGTTTGAGTCAAACTATGAACAAGGCAAAGAACAACAGTATAGAGAATTAAAAAGGAAAAAAAAACCCAACTCCTCAAAGGTGGGGAAATAGCTATCATGAAAAACATATTAGTAAAACTTTAAGTATTTTGTAACTTAAATTCCATTTGAAACTCAAAAAGAATACATATTTTATAAAGTATAGGAGACATAATTATTTTTTTCTGAGTTAAAAGTCAAGTCACTACATCTAATGAACGTTGAAATTTATAACTGATGGTCACTAATACTTATTTAGGAAATTGGTTGCTTAGCGGTAAGGAATTGTGTTGAAAACCAAAGGTTCATAGTTCAAAACCACCAGACGCTCTGTGGGAGAAAGATGAGCAACCTTCTCCCTTTTGATTTGTTGTTGTTGTTGTTATGTGCCATGGAATCACTTGCGACTCATAGCGACCCTGTGTACAACAGCCCTAAACTCTGCTCTGTACTGTGCCAATCGCACTGCCTCTGACACTCCCATCCCGATTACCCCAGTCATTACTCAATCCACTTCATAGGGGGCCTTCTCCTCCTGCCCTGTCCCTCCACCTTCTCCAAGGACCGGTCTCTCCTCACAACGTGTCCAAAGTATGTTAGACGGAGCCTCAGAATCCTTGCCTCCAAGGAGCCACCCGGTTTAACCCTTTCTAGGACGAATCTGTTTGTTTTCCTAGCAGTTCATGGCAGTCTCAATACTCTTCTCCAGCACCACAGCTCAAAGGCATCAATTCTCCTTCTATCCTCCTTAGTCATTGTCCAGCTCTCTGATGCATAACAAGTGATTGTGAAGACCATGGCCTGTATCAGACGCACCTTAATCTCCAGAGAGACACCATTGCTCTTCAGTACTTTGGAGAGGTCCCTAACAGCAGACTTTCCCATGGCAATGCGCCTTTTAATTTCCTGGCTACTGGTGCCAAGAGTGTTGACTGTGGAGCCAAGCAAACTAAAGCTGGGTACAATCTCTATCTCTTCGCCATCCATCCTGATGCTGCCAATTGGTCCAGTGGTGAGAATCTTTATCTTCTTGACATTGAGCCTCAATCCATATTGGAGGCTGCAGTCCTTGACCCTCTGCAGCAGGTGCTTCAAGTCCTCTTCAGTTTCAGCAAGCAGGGTTGTGTCATCCGCATAACGCAGATTGTTGATAGATCTACCACCAATCTTGACCCCACACTTCTCCTCATAGAGCCCAGCCTCCCGGATAATCTGTTCTTCATACAGGTTGAAAAGGTATGGAGATAGGATGCATCCCTGGTGTATGCCCTTCCCAATTTTGAACCATGCCTCTAAAAACCCCTGGGGGGAGGGTCAGCCACGACTCAGTTCCAACTCAACAGTACACAACAACAAAACTCAGTATCATTATTATTTCACTTCTTATTATGAACTAATAATGTTATTATTTATTATAATATCTTGTTCCCAGGACACACAATTTTATATTTCTGAAATTGTGGTATGACTTAAATTGGTGTGTACATTTAACAAATTCTGGCTTTTATGACTAAATTAGTGACCACTGTCAATAATTTCACAACAATTTTGAAACTACTACCCTTTCAAAACATATACATACCATTTGTATTAGTTCTTTAGCAAGCTGTACAACTGACATTTCAAAATTGGTTCCAATGTTATAAATTTCACCTGGTTTCCCCTTTTTGAGGACAGTGAGAAACGCTTCTACCACATCAGTAGCATAAAGAAAATTTCTTGTTTGAAGCCCCGATCCATGAATGCAGCTAAAAAAAGAGAAATGAAACAGAATCAAACAATGGAAAACAGTAAGTGGGTACAATTCCAGAGAAGACAGTTCCCAAGGTACCAAAGAAATATTTTATTTGAAACACAGTTTTCATGACTTTTCCAAATCTTAGCCCCATTTTTCACTGATCTCCAAACTTTCTGAGGGCATTCAATAAAAATGCAATAAACAAATAAATGATCCCTGAGAAGTAATTATTCAAAATTTTATTCCACGTATTAATTTTGAATATTTACAGTTTAAATGTACCCTCAAAGTAAAACTATAAAATTATATAAAAACAGATGCCAAATTTTTATCCTATAATAGGTGATTTAAGAGTAGAAATTATCTAAATGATCACAAAGATAAAGTTCAAAAATGAATACAGTGAGCATAAAAGGAATTCTGGTATTAGGTAACATATTTGATTTTATGGCCTCTAACTGTTAAGATTGTCATTTTTAATAAAGACTATCACTAATATCAATATCCTAGAAAAACATATGGGACAAAGGTAAGTAACATACCATTTCCTGTTGTGTTGTAGTAAAGATATAAATTTTGGAATAACCTAAAAGTATATTTAAATATTATTTCAGATTTTGAAAAATCATACAGTAAGAGGAATCTGAACTCAAGCTTATTACTATTAAGAAATATATACATATGGATCAATAATTTAAAGTAAACGAGTTACCCACTATATATATATAAAGATAAAATGATAACAGTGGCCAGAGCTCTCATCACAAAGATCACCTACTGATTTTTTAAGAGTAGGAATCCTTTTATAAAAAAAAATTTTTAATTGTGATTTGAAGGAACGTTTACCTAGAAGGTAGATTTTCATTGATTCCTTGTTGCACATTTATCCTTCTCCTCTTCTCCCTCCCTAGTTCACTTTTTAAAATATTCATCACTGTTGCACAATTACCTCCCTGCCCCCCAGTCTTCTTTGCAAGGATGCATCTCTTACCTTGACCTACTTATGATCCAGCAGCTACTCAGTAAGTGCTGTGGAATTACTGAAAAGTGCTCTAGGGTTCACGGAAAATGATGTTAATCATGGAAGTTAAGAAATTACTAAATTTATAATGGTCTTCTTTAAAGAGACTCCAAAAGTCATGCACAGTAGTTATTAATACCAGAAGACCATGACATGGTCCTTTCCTTTGGGCAACTCAGTCGATGCAACCAGTTAGGAAGAAAATCCAGTCTCCAAATTTAAGTCAAGCTGAGGACAGTTGGCTAAAACTAGGCTTAGGGAGGCAGATGCAACTAAAGAAGCATTTTTGAACTTTTTAAACGATATTATTCTCACTCCTTCTTTGCACTAGTTTTGGAACATTCTGGCCCATAATAATAAAACGAGTTGGTTATAGTAGATCAGTTAACTGTAAGACAAATTCATGGACAAGTTTCCTGCATTACTATTTGACTAGGTTTTCAATTTCTGCCCGTCCTAACCTATCGGTCTGACTGCCAACTGGGAGTCACAGCTGTACTGTGATGGTAGCAGCCGACCTCTGCAGTGGGTTTGGGTTTATAAGGCATTTTTAAAGACGATATCTTACTGGATCTTAAAAACATTCAAGAATAATCATTAGCCTCAATTTAAAAACAAGACCAAAGGACCTAAAATCCTGGTAAGTTTTCAAGGTAAACTTAAGCTTAAGTCTTCAACGTTTAAGTGTAATGAAGTTTATATGTGGACTATATCACATACATAATTATATATAATTACAACATAAATTATTTTGGGCAAATAAGAGTGATGATTTTAAATAATGAAAAGTTATAATCATTACAAAAAATACAAGTAATACAGTAGTAAAATTTACCTTTTCTGGATACTGATGTGGCCCATAAACATTACTGCTTCTTGTAATCACGACTGGAAACTTAAAGAATATTCAACATTAAGAAAATGAGAATGTCCAATAATTTTGCTTATTTTAGAGATAAAGGGAATTTTAAAATCTGAGTAACTGGTTAGTTTTACCTAAATAATTCCACACATTTTAAAGAGAGCAGCAAAGGAAATGTAATCTGTTCTAAAGATAAGACAAGCTTTCTTATGAAGATGGTGCCCCTTCCAAAACTGAAGCCAAAGCAAAGGCAATAAAGGCCAAGAAGAAAGCAGTCCTGAAGGGCATCCATCCAAAACCACAAAGGAAAGAAGATCTGCACATCACCCACCTTCTGGTGGCCCAAAACAGTCCAAACACCCCCAGAAGAGTGCGCCCAAAAGAAATAAGCTTGACCACTATCCCATCATCAAGTTTCCCCTGACCACACAGCCAGCGATGAAGAAGATAGAAGACAACTACAAACATGTTGATAGAAGATAAAATACAGTGTTGACTGTGGATGTCAAGGCCAATAAGCACCAGATCAAACTAGCTGGAAAGAAGCTCTGTGACATATACATAACCCATGTCTTAACTAGGCCTGATAGAGACAGAAGGCCTATGTTCTAACTTGCTCCTGACTTTGATGCTTTGGCTGTTGCCAATAAAATTGGGATCATGTAAACTGTGTCCTGCTGGCTAATTCTAAACTTAAGGGATTTTTTAACAACAAAAAAAGAGGAAAACAAGGTAAGAAAGCATGGGGTAAAGGCTTAGTTCTAAAGGTACTAAGAAGAGCCTTCCATCAGGACAGAGGATGATGAGTACGGACAGAGGCGGGTTTGTAGCTCTGGTCGCAGAAATTGGAGGCTGTGTCCACTGATTATTTCTGACATCACATCTAGGGTTTCAGATCTGGTTTAGACGCTAAACTGGCTCTCAAAGTAGCACTTACAAACAAAAGAGCGCTTATGAAACGGAAATAAAAAGGTAGAGAATAAAGAGTTTAATCCTTGGCTTGTTTTTAACCCAGTTCCTAAAAACTCCAACAGATCAGTGGAAAGCCAAATGAAAGGAATTAAAGCAGATGATTCATATGGATAAGACTTCCTCATGGACAAGGCCCCAAAGCTACCACAGTTAAAGCTCCCTCCTATTCATGAGAAAGCAAGAGAAATGAACTGTGCAACAAGGAGCCCACTGCAGCCACGTGAATCAGACTCCCCGATTCGTCCATCCACAGGATTCCTGGGGACCAGGAAAGTCCACAAGGACTTTAACTAGAACAACGGTGGCTGTACCCATTACTGGCACTGTGACTGATTAGTGGGAGAAAAGCACTTAGGAGTGTTGTCTTTAAATGATGACCCCAACAAGAAAAGGTAAGTCCTACTTTGCTAACACAATACAAAAAATCAGTTGGTTGGGGTTTTTTTTTAAGTGTCATAACATGTAATTTTTCACAATATAAATCTTATAATCTACAAATTAAATACTGCTACTTCTGACTTAACACCTAAACCCTGTACATCCACCGTCCTCTTAAAAAAATTTCGTTTTTGGAATCAGCTCTTACCTTGTACCGTTCCCAGTAGGACTGTACAAAGCACTCAGCAGCTGCCTTAGATGATGCGTAAGGATTTGTAGGTTGTTTAGGTGAAGACTCATCAAATTCCTAATTTTAAAAACATATTATTTTAATGTAAAAAAAATCAGAAACCACTGCAACTTAAAACAATGACTGCATTGAACCCTAAGTGTGAACCTGAAATTTTTCTACACATTTCTGATGGACTTTTTCCTCCTCAGAACAAACCTGTGCAGCAAAGGCAAAGAGAACCAGGAAAGTGAAACCCCAAGGGAACAGGACACCTCAAGGATTCTTTCTGAGGGACATGGGGCCGCAGCAGTTACCAGACAAAGGGAGCCCCGGGAGATGAGGGCAGGGGGAGGCAGCACGTGCGAGAGCCTGCGGATACTACGGGCTGCTGACAGGTTCCGAGTGTAACAAAGTCAAAATCTGACTTCTAGTGTGAAGCTTTCATTCCACCTGCTGGGTCAGCTCTGAACTAGGATGGGAAGACAGACCTGATTAACAATGGGGAGATCTGAAAACAGTTGCTTCTCCGAAGACATTGGGGAAGTGATCAGAGTTGGTTCATCTCATTACAAATCTACTGAACTAGTTATTTTTTTTTAAAAAAAACCCCTAAGTTTTCAATTTTTAAAAATCTTTAAGAGCTAAAACAAAGGGGACAAAGCAAAATACTGACCATGAAAAACATAGACTGGATAAGAGAGCTCCTTCTTGTGGTTAAGTAGGCGGGAGAAAAATGTTAATGTTAGTAATGATCAGAAAAAACTAGCAAATCCAGAGTCTACAATAATCTCACACTTACGCTGTAACATTCTGCTTTCCTGAGCATTGCAGGCAGAGCTGGTTAGAACCCACCAGCTGCTCTACGGAAGTGGGACAATCTCCTTCCGCAAAGTGACACCCTGAGAGGGGCAGCTGTATCCAGTTTTACCTTGATGGCAATCAGGTTTATCTGAGAATTACTGCCCAGTCCATAAGGATGATGTTTATCACGGATGTAAAATGGACCAAAAGGTAAGATTTGCTCTTCTCCAGCAAACAAAATCAGTTATCTGAGATGGCTTCATTTTAACTGAACAGGAGAGACGATGGATTAACATTTCCAAGATTCTCACGAGTGTGTGCAATGCTTGTTGTTATGTGTCAAATCAGGGCTGATTCACAGCTGACCCCCGATGGATTGTTAATGGCTGGAAATCGCATGTTGTTGTTGTTATGTGCCGTCGAGTCGTTTGCGACTCATAGGGACCCTATGCACAACAGCCCTAAACCCTGCTCTATCCTGCGCCAACAGCACTGCCTCTGACACACCCATCCCGATTACCCCAGTCACCGAATCAATCCATCTCATAGAGGGTCCTCCTCTCCTGCGCTGTCCCTCCACCCTCCCAAGCATGATGTCCCTCTCCAAGGACCTGTCCCTCCTGGCAACATGTCCAAAGTATGTCAGACAAAGCCCCAGAATCCTTGCCACCAAGGAGGAGCCTGGTTTAATCCTCTCTACGATGAATCTGTCTGTTTTCTTGGCAGGCCATGGTACATTCAATACTCCTCCAGCACCACAGCTCAAAGGCGTCAATTCTCCTTCTATCCTCCCTAGTCATTGTCCAACTCTCTGATGCATAACAAGTGATTGCAAAAACCATGGCCTGTATCAGGCAGACCTTAGTCTCCAGAGAGACACTGTTGCTCCTGGGTATTTTGGAGAGGTCCCTAACTGCAGACTTTCCCATCGCAATACGTTTCGTATTAGCACAATTAAATGTTCTGGGATTCCCATTCTTCTCAGAGTCAGCCACAGTTTGTCATGATCCACACAGTCAAATGCCTTTGCATAATCAATGAAACACAGATAGACATTCTTCTGGTATTCTCTGCTTTCAGCCAAGATCCATCTCACATCAGCAACAATATCCCTAGTACCACGACCCCTTCTAAACCCAGCCTGGACTTCCGGCAATTCTCTGCTGATGTGCTGTTCTAATCGTTTTTGGATAATCTTCAGTAGAATCTTGCTTGCATGTGAAATCAATGACACTGTTCTGTAGTTTCCACACTCAGTTGGGTCACCCTTTTATCTTTCTCTCACAGAGCTGTTGGTAGATTTGAAGCACCAAGGAACTCCTGACCCACTAGGCTACCAGAGCTCCCTATGAGTAACTGATGTTATATGCAATCGAGTCGGAGCTGACCCTTAGCTGACCATCCAGTGAGTTGTCAAAGGCTGTAAATCACACCAGAAGCATTTTCCAATCCTTCTCCTATGGAGTAGTTGGTGGCGTCGAACCATGTGCCTTTAGATTAGCAGCACGGCTCCTTATTACTAGGCCACCAGAGCTCCCCTATGTATAACTGCCAGTGCTGTAATGTACTGTCAAATCGGAACCAACTCATAGCTGACCCTCCAGTAGGTTTTCAGAAGGTATAAATCACATATGAGGAGACAGTTCATCTTTCTCTTGTGGAATAGCTTATGGACTCAAGCTGTGGGCCTTTAGGTTGGCAGTACAACTCCTTACCTTTAAGCACTATGTGTAATGTCGCTGTTGTTGTTATGTGCCATCGAGTCACCTGCGACTCACAGCAATCCTATGTACAACAGCCCTAAATCTTGCCCTATCCTGAGCCAATCTGTCTCCGACATCCCTACCCCATTACCCCGTCACTGAATCAATGCACTTCACAGAAGATCTTCCCCTATCTGCTTTCAGCCAAGGATCCATCTATAATTAGCTACAATATCCCTAGTACCATGACCCTGTCTAAACCCAGCCTGCACTTCTGGTGGTTCTCTGTTGACATGTTGCTCCAGTCGTTTTTGGATAATCTTCAGCAGAATCTTGCTTACATGTGATGTTAAGGATATTGTTTGATAATTTTCACACTCTGTGGGATTATCATTCTTTAGAATGAGAACAAACAGAGACCTCTTCCAGTCAGTTGGCCAAGTAATTAGAGGGTAAAAAAAGTCCAGAATAGGTTTTAATACAGAAAATTTTATCAGAGTACACGGTAAATTAGTGAGATACATATTTTCTAAGCTTACCTTATCCAGACTGCCTCCATACACTTCATCTGTGCTGACATAAATGAATTTCTCCACATGGGCTTCATAAGCTGCACTCACCAAGACGTGAGTGCCATAAACATTAACATATGTAAACTCAAATGCACGTACAAATGAAAGATCTAAATAAAAAGAGAAAAAAGTTAAAACCAGTCCACTCAAGGGACAAATCAAATCACATACTCGGGCTTAAGGACAGCACTATTCACAACCAAAATAAATTATCACAGAAGCAAAGTAGAAACACATTACACTTATTACTTCTTTCAGCGTTAATTTCCAGGCTTTAAATCCTTGGAGAAGCAGCCTGCCACATCCTTCTCTTCTGGATCTGCTGGTGGGTTCAAACCACCAATCCTATAGCAGGTAAGCTCCTTCTATGCAAAGTCTCAGATTCTAGGAAACTATCAGAAGTAAACTTGCAGGAATCACTTGTCATTTGAAAAAGAAGAAAATAAAAAGTGATACATCTGAATAGAAAAATGTTTTTTAGGAACTTCTAGATTTTTTTTCTAGCAGCAGACTAGGTTTTTCAGATATTGCAGAAAATGATATAAATGCAGGCTAAATGGCTTTAAATGTCACTTTACAGAGCTGCCGACACACATGTAGAAGACACTCATCCTCACTGCTATGTTAGGTGCCACTGACTGAGTCGGCTACAGCTCACAGCGACCCTATAAACAGCAGGTCTGAACCGTGCCCTGGTACTGTGTCATCCTAAGCATCTGACATACAACCTCATTAGCCATAGGGAAATGTCAACCAATACCACAATGAGATCCTACTACACACCGCTTGGTTGGCAAAAGTAAAAACATCTGACAATACCAGGCTTTGGTGAGATTTAGAGCAACAGGAAGTCTCAGAGCTTCCTCCTCCTCCCTTTCCCCCCCAAAAGGGGAAACTGGTACAACTACTTTGGCAAACACCTGAACATTTTCACAACAATGGAGGATGCAGACAGATGACAATTTTGCTAAAAGCCATCTTCAGGTTCAACACAATCCCAAGAGAGAGAAGCCATTCTCAAGGAAATGAAAGAAAATGAAGTATAAGGCATCACACTCCCTGATCTTAAAACCTACTAGTGAAATTGTCAACTGTGCTATGTTGAGTCCTCCCATTCACGAACAGGGAATATTTTTCAATTTAATTAATCTCTTACTGTTTCTTGTAGTGGTGTTTTATAGTTTTCCTTATATAGATCTTCCACATCTCCACTAAGGGAGGTCAGGTGGCCCAGTGGTAAGAAGCCCCACTGACACAACAAAGGCACTAACTAAATCCACCAACTGTTCCATGGAGAAAGATGGGCAATCTCCTTCTGTGCAGTGTCCTGTCTCTGCAAACCCTCTAGAGGTTCAGCTATGAGTCAGTTCCAGCTTGATAGTACACAACAATTATCTATGAGGGAAATATGTGTTTATGTATCAAGATGTGTGCATACATGTTTCCTAAGAGTATCACGTCCACGTTCAAGATACACAGCAGTACTGTTCGAAATTGCTCAAAAGTGCAGACAACGTAAATGTCCACTGCCAGTAAAACAAGTAAACTGTTGTACAGTCTCAGAACAGCACTGAAAATAAATAAAGCATACACATAGCCCATGTCACGGTGAGCCTGTAAGATTGTCAACTAAGGGGAAAATACATACACCTGCACATAATGTTATATTATCCTAACATAGTTTATATTTATATGCATTTCTGTAAAGCTTATCAAGAGCCAAAACAACTTACATTGTTGACAGATAAAGACACACATACAAAACTACTAAGAAGAAAAGCAAGGGAAAGTCTTACTTTAAAATTAGGTAATAGAGAAAAATGAAGAATGCTAACAATACACGGTAACACTTCTACCGAGAGGGTCCTTTGGTTGAGACGACAGCTCTATGGGTATTGATATTATGACTATTTATTTAACTCCATTTATATGTCTTCCTAAAGATACAAACTACAGTATAGAATCTTACTCAAATATGAAATACCTCAGATTCACAAAATAAGATACACAAGAATAAACAGCTGTATTTTTTTGCCTTCAGAATAACCATGACCCTGAACTTGGTTAAACTCAAAATTTGAAGATGGTATTCAAGGTTATATTCAGCCTGTGCTAACAAGTCATCTAAAAAAGGCACCAGGTACACAGGTAACAGTGACCACGGGCAGGTCTCCCAACAGCGTATTGTACGTCTTCTCTCGAAGCTGGACTTTGAGCACTTAGTTGGTCAACCCCACTGCTGGGCTTGAATTTAAGCTAATTAGTCGTATGTGCAAAAACGCGGCGGTAACCATTATACAACACAACGCTTACCTACATGTGTCTGTGCAGCGAAATGAAGGACTATATCTATTTTCTGTGTTTCAAAAAGCAGCTTCACGAAGTGAGAATCACATATGTCACCCTATGTCGAAAAGCAAACATAAAAATGATTACGTTTCACTGAGCACTCCATTAATTACAACTATTTTTACTCTAGGAATAAAAAATAATAATAGAAGAAAAATTAATTCCTATTAAACTTCTCTTTAGTCCCTCCTCCTGAAGCTAATAATAGAGACTATCTGGATAATTTAATCAACCAGGGGGTCACACATAATGATAAGGTATATCTGCCGGCTACTTGGGATATAAATCTTTCAATTAAAAATATTTTTTTCAGTGTCTAAAACAGTATTTTAATGTATACCAACTACTAAGCACTGTGCTAGATTTTAAAAAATAGCATCTCTGCCAATCTAAGGCTATTGTACTAATGTTGTTGTTATGTGCCATCGAGTCGCTTGTGACTCACAGCAACCCTATGTACAAGAGCCCTGAAACCTGCTCTATCCTGTGCCAATTCTACTCTTTCCAACATAACTACTCCCATTACTCGTCACTGAATCAATCATATCATTGAGGGTCTTCCTTTCTCTATCCCTCCATGCTTCCAAGCATGACGTCACTCTCTAAGGACTGGACCCTCCTTGCAACATGCCCAAAGTATATCAGACAAAGCTTCAGACTCCTTGCCTCTAAGGAGCAGCCTGGTTTCTTCCTCTCTAGGATGAACCTGATTGTTCTCCTGACAGTCCATGGTATAGTCAACACTGTTCTCCAGCACCACAGCTCAAAGGCATCAATTCTCTTTTCAGGATCCCTAGTCACTGTCCAACTCTCTGATGCAAGCAATTGTGAAAACTATGACCTGGATCAAGTGTTACTTAGTCTCCAGACTATGATAGAGACAATTTCAAAACTTTTGAAAACTTGGAGATGACCTGATTGAACTATATTTAAGTGTAAGAAGTGGAATGGTAGCCTGAAAAACTAGTATTAGTACTTTGATGTTTTATGTGCATTGTCTAAAAATAGGAATTTTCAATAATTCTTTGGTAACTGAAGTGAACAAAGGTATAAAACATTTGCTTCGTATAGATAATCCTTAAACAAGGTGGCTTTGAAAACACACAGCTCACTTATACCTGGAGCTCCCCCCCTTGTTACCACGATAAACAGTATACTGCTGGTGCATACTCCCCAACCAAACATCCTGCCACCAGACCCCTATGCCCCCCAAACCCCACCTCCCGTGGGCTCCTGGGTTCTACTGATCACTCAGACCACGACCCTTAGGGTCCCTATCCTGGGCCTCCATCCCAGCCACTGCCCTAGGGCTCCTTGAAAGGGCAAGAATGCAAAGGATGTGAGCTGCCTCCAGGACCACAGGCGTCATAAGACCAGTGACAGAGGAACAAGTGGAAGCTTTCATGTAATCATCACTGTCCCCCTTGCACTGCTCCCAGACTCTCCACTCCCAGCCTTGATGGTCCTGTAGCCACTACAGTCCAGGAGGAGAGGATGCACAGACTGCCAGATGATTCCCAGGTGGGCACCCAACCTGAGGGCCCACCCTGGTCTGCGACTTTCCTCACTTCTCTCCTACCCTGGCCTACCAGGGTTCCAGTACATTCAAGAGCAGGCTTCCCTCCACTCCTGCAATCTGTTCAGAGTCGTGGCGCCATGCTGTCTCAAACAGGCTGGACATCAAGCCCACATCTGTGAGGGCCAATGGGAAGGTACTGTGTGTTTATGGTGCAGATTCAAAACTCAACAAGTACGTTCTAAAAGCAGACTGCACTGGAACGAAGTAGCAGTGATAGTTAAAAAAAAATCTCATTAATAACCAAAAGCCAATGTGGCAGATATGCTAAAAAAGGTAATCTTTATGCCATGTGCTTTATATGCAAATGATAAAAAAATCAGCACATTCTGCTTCTAGCTTGTAAAAAACAAATATCATAAAGTATGATCTTATTTGTTCATTATTCATACTGCTGGCCATAAAAAATTATGTGTCAGTAGGACTATTTCTTAACAAATTAAAAAATATTTTCAATTGGGGGAGTGGTTTCAGTGTGTCTAGCTCCTATACTGTTCAAAAATCAAGTATATGCATTTTAACCTTTATAGTTAAAAACAAAGTAAAATTACCTTCTAAAAATGAAATAAAAATCTCAAGTCGTTTCATCTGACTGTAACATTTGCCTTGGCAAACTAATGAACTGGCATTCTGTTCTATACTTCAGATTCTTCTAGGAGTGTTAGACCTTGCAGGCCTATCCACTTCCACCAAGCTATAACTTACATGGTGGCCTTTTGGTTTTGGGTTGTCAGATACCAGAAAAACCTTATTATTAGAGGCTAGTAAGAATCCAGTATCACAAACCTTTTGAGGCCGATCAACCACTCACAGATCTATCATATAGATCTACCATGAAACTCATGTATATGCAGCTTTTCGTGTAATATTAATGAAAAAGCAGTATTCTCTACAGCACACGGCGCTTCTGGAAGAAAACGAACTGATCTTTCAAAAGACCGTTACTAAGTGCCCTGCCCTTTATGATCTCATACTAACAAATTGGTAAAGCAGAAAGATCACCTCTATGTGATTAAAGAGGCAGAGTACAATTTTAAGAAAACTTTCATACCTGTATAAATTTATAATTTTGTTTGGTAGAAATAGTTTCAAGATTCTTCAAACTTGCACAATAATCCAGCTTAAAAGGAGAAAGTACAGAGGTAAAACAATACAAAAAGTGGTAGATATTAGCTTGGCTTATAAAAGAACTCTTTTTTTAAAAGATTACATAAGAACATATCCTCTTACAGTATGCTTATTCTTTTATCTCTAACATTTTAAAAGGAAACGAAAAACTTTGTGATCTTTAAAAAAATTGTTTCTAATGACTTTTTATAAATCACTATTTTCACAAAGTTCCTGATGAGTTCTGCCCCCAATCACTGGCTAACAGTTTAGCAATCCTTTTGTGCATTACTTTTTTAGCATTACTTAAATGGAATCTATGAATTAAAACAATTACACCCATGTTATGTATACTGAACTGATTCCTCAGTTGTACCATCGAGTTGAGTATGACCCATAGTGACCCTATGAACAACAGGTGTGAAACCTGTCCTATCCTGAGTTAGGTATTGATAATTGGTATACAGATCGGGGGAGGACATTCTACTCATAATAGTAAAGCAGGTAAAACTTCTTAAGACTTAAGATAATTATTTGCCTGTACTTAAAAAAAACAAAAAACAAACAAACAAAAAAACCCACAAAAACCAAACACGCCAAACAATGCAACTATTATTTTAAGAAATGAGGATATCTTGTGTTTAAAGCATCATTTCAGTAATACCAATTAGGGCTTTCAGACTTTCCAGGAAGAGCCCAGGTACAATTGCTAAATTCTCAAAACTCAATTGCACTTTAATGGTTTTTAACCTTATAAAAATTCTCAGGAGGTGGCAGTTAAAATCAAACAATGAGGTTAATGATTATTTGTCTTCAAAAAAGGCCAGTAATGACAAAAACCCAAACCTAAACCTGCTGCTATTGATTCTGACTCACAGACACCTTACAGGGCATGGCACAGGTATCCCATAGGGTTTCCAAGGCTCTATTTCTTTCTAGACATGACAGCTGCATCTTTCTCCCAGGGAGCAGCTGATGGGGTTGAGTCCCCAACCTTTCAGAAGGCCAGTCCTTTAACCACTACACCAGCAGATGACACGACACTAAAATCTTGTCCCTTCCGATCACAGTAACTGCTCAATTCATAAAGGGTAAAGAGGACTGTTCCAGCAGTACTATACACCAAATTCTTCATTAACTATGATAAACAAAAAGTCTTGAGATTTTACAAAAGGCAAAATCAGCGTGGGCATGACTATACTGGCCTCTAAATTGCAGTAAGATTCACATTATTATTTGTGTGTGTGTGTGTGTAGTAATGCAGAAGCTCATTTTTATAAAACTTACCTTGTCTAGATTAATGATCATGTAATTTGGATAATCTTCTACTAAAGAAACAATCACATGTGATGCACTATAAAAGAAACAACAACCATATTTACTGTTGGTGGAAGTTTTAACCTTCTCAGGTTCTTGTATTAAAAATTATTATATATCAGGAAAATATTCAAAGATATCTTTTAATTTTTCCAAGATAACAGAAGCAATATTGCTACACGGAACACACACAGTTCTCATCATACTAAACAGTATCTACATACAGACAGTATAGTATCTCCTATTAGATTATGCTCTTCTTGTTGTTGTTATGTGTCGTCGAGTCGCCTGCGACTCATAGCGACCCTATGTACAACAGCTCTAAACTCTGCTCTATCCTGTGCCAATCTCGCCATCTCTGACAGACTACCCCCATTAACCCAGTCACTGAATCAATCCATCTCATCGAGGGTCTTCCTCTCCTGTGCTGTCCCTCCCCCCCCCCAAGCATGACATCCTTCTCCAAGGACTGGTCCCTCCTTACATGTCCCTCTTATAGATTAATATTATATCTACACAGAACACTTACATACTCCTCTTAGATTATGGAGAAAAACCTGACTGGTCCTGGGTATAGCTAAAAATTAAGTCAACCAAATGACACTGCCCCTGCTTGTTTTGAGTATGGCAGTAAAGTATGAAAAAAAACACTTAAGTGTGGTCAGGCCAACTTCACTGAAGTGAATGTGAATGTACCTTGTGGGTGACTGAAAATGTAATTTTGTAAAACTAAGTCAGCATGAACATAATCACTTACGTTCACAGTTCCACCTCAACTGCTATCTCTTGACAAAAGATTTTGTTGGTATAAACCAGAATTCATAAGGGGGTAGGATGAGGATGGGTCCTGGTGGCCTAGCGGTAAGAAACTGCACTGCAAACCCAAGGACAAGCAGTTCGAATCCCTAGCTGCTCTGCAGGAGAAGGACGGGCAATCTGCTCCATGTGATTTACTGCCTCTGAAAACCCACTGGAGGGTCAGCTTTGAGTCCACTCCAACTCGATGGCAAACAACAACAGCTGGAACCAATCCAAGTTATACATGTAAAGTGACACTTGGATTTCAGAGTACTGGGAAGTGAACTCAGAGGTATACTTAATTAAGATGATTTAACGGATCAGATCATATGCACCTAAAATGTTAGGCAACTAGGAACAAGAACAGGACTTGATCAAGTTATGGAATAATGGTTTATACTCAGCAGGTCTTGTATTTTCCAGGACTTAGCCTTCCTGGACAAGCTTTCTCACATATCTAACCCTCCCCTTCATGCCAATGCTCTCTATTACCTCCTCCAAGTGATGGCAGCTACATAAAAGGTCACTGAATATGTTAATGAATATAATAATCTGTTCCCTCTCCCACTAGATCCTGAATTCTGTAAAGGTCACAGAGGTTTCTGGGTTTTGCTCATTTAATCACCCCTTCAAGAGAAGGCCTTTATGAAATGAGCCAGGTATTCTTCCAGGTGCTGAGGGCACAAATCTGTGCCTTCCTGGAATTTACATGCTAAAGTGGGGATGCGGGAATTATGCAAGTCAACATAATATATAACCACAACTTCATGTAATGTTAAGTGTTACAAACCAAGGATCATCCATTAGAATGGCCTTTCTGAATAATGAACCGAAAGCTCTGGTGGCCTACTTGTTAAGAAACTGTGCTGCAATCTCAAAAGCATGTGGTTTGAATCCACAAACTGCTCCATAGAAGGATGAGCCGTATCCTCCCTTCTGGTTTACTGCCTCTGAATGCCCACTAGAAGGTCAGCCACAGGTCAATTCCAACTGGACCGCACATAACAATGAACAGTCTAATCAAGGAGGCAATCAAGTGCAAATGCCTCAGGATAAGTGCAATCCTATTTTGTTTCAGAAATTCCAAGAGGTCAAATGTGTCACATAAAAAAAGCATGGGTAGGACTATAAATGGGGCTGAAATGTAGTGCAGGGTCTATGACAGACTTCCAGGAAAGGGACGGTGTAGCCAAGTCCAACAACAATCACTGGAGTAAAACTCTACACACTGAAAACGCTGGCTTCCGTGTGACAGACTTTAAAGAAAGAGTGGAACATCATGACCAGGAAGCTACCATGGTGGTGGTGGTGGTGGTGGTGGTTAGGTGCCTGAAGTCCCCTATAAATCACAACCAGTCTGCAAAGGACACACTGACAAAGGAGATTAATCAGAACTGGTTTTGACAAGCACTGTGGCAATGATAAAATTAAAACAGACTTTCAAGGGCGGGGAAAGGAGGAACGAAGTGGGAGGGGGGTAGAGAAAATAGTGCATCAATGAATGAATGGAAATCCAAAATCTCTGTAAATGTTCATTAAAATAAAATGAAAAAGAAAAATAACAACCAGTCTACGAACAACAGATCAGAACCTTGCCCTGTCCTGCACGGCCTCACAGTCTAGATGGTAAAATGAACTAAAATAGTACATGCTGGTAGAAGATGAGTGAGGCTATGAGGAAAAGAAGTATAAAGCATCTAGCACAAACTTGGCCATTGATCTTAAAATTGCGTTGAACAAATGAGTACCCTATACGCCAGAAATATTTTTTTGGGGGGGATGAATGCCTCTATGTCCAAAGCCATGCTATGAATCTACGTAACTGGGGAAAAGGGGGAAGCTGGAGGTGGAAAGCTAGCAAGAAAGTGAGCACATTTAGAGAAATGACAAGTAGGAGAGGGAATATGGTTGTTGTTAGGTGCCATCAAGTTCAGTATGATTCACAGCAACTCTCTGAACTACTGATCTTAACTCTGTCCTATCCTGTGCCATCCTCACAATCTCAGTCAAAACCAGCTAGAACATTATTACATTGGCAGAGAATTGCCAGAAGTTCAAGCTGGATTTAGAAGAGACCACGGCTAATATCACTGAGATATCAAAGATATCACTGCAGATGTCAGATGGAGAGGGTAGGACCACAGTATTTTTGCTCTGAAGGTGGCCTTTTACAAGAGTCGCGGTCACAAGGGAACCACTACTTCATAGTCAAAGATATGGGAGAAGGTACCGGTCCAGGTTCCAGGTTAGGACTGTCTAGCAGACACCCAATGTTAACCCAGGACAAGTAGAGTCACAAGGCCGGGCTTGCCGGGGACCGCTCCTTGGCTGGTCAGCGGCACCGTTACCTACATGAAGCCAGCACCTCCGGTCACCAGGAGCCGCTTGTCAAAGTTTCCGGGAGGACCCGAGAGCTCCGCAGGTGCCGCCGCAGACATCTCCCAAGTCGGAAGTTGCCGGCACCGCTACGCGCCGCCGAGTCTCCAGCCAGTAAGGGGAGCTCCATCGCGACTTTTTACGACACTCCTTGCTTCCGGGACACGTCAATGGGGCGGGGAGTGCAGCATGGGGGCGTGGTCTCGCCACAGCCGTGTCCCCGCCCGCTGGCGGACTGGGCGGGGCCCGCAGTGCTCAGGCCCCGGGCCGCCACGCAGCACGGCGCTACTACGCAGGTGCAATCTCTCGACAAAGCCTTGCTGGCAGAGGGTGTGGCCTGAACCTGACAACCTGAAAAGTTTCCTGTGCAGCTGTCACCTACGTGGAATAGGCTTGATGTAGGCCAGAGGTGATCGGTAGAGAGAATAGTGCAACAATGAATGAGTGGAAGCCCAAAATCTCTGTAAATGTTTATGAAAATTAATAAAATATAATTATAGAAAAAAAACCAAAGTTATGAATGGACACATACTTTTCATTCTGATACTACGGCCATTTCTGGAGATTATGCATTGACTGAGTAAAGCTCTTGGCAGGAATTTTGCAAGAGTGGAGATAGAGAAGCTGTAATTGAAAGATGGCATTACACACGTTACTCTTGTCATTACTATGACTGCAAACAGCACTTGGAATCACGAGAAAATATCAATTCTTCCGTCCTACTTAAGTCATTGTCCAGCTGTGCCTCAATCAGCCGCACCTTTAAACTGACGTCATTGTATTGCAGAGCCTGACAGGGGTCCCTGACAGCTGACTTTCCCAATGATGTAGGTCTCTCCATCCAGTTAGATGATTGTTATGTGCGGTGGAGTCACCAGCTACTCATAGCGACCATATGCACATTAGCTCCGAACTCAGCCCTATTCTGAGCCAATATCACTATAATGTCTTAATGTCTAAGGGTGACAGAATAAGAATCGATGCTTTTGGGTTGTGTTGGGGCAAATAGTTACGTCTTGAAATAAGTTGCAGCCAGAATGCTCCTTGGAGGCAAAGATGAGAAAGCTTCATCTCACATACTTTGGACATGCTGCTATGTAGGTTATTCCATGTAGACGAACATAATGTTTGCAAAGGAAACATAAATCCACTTATGCACTTTTTTTAACACTTCCATAAATTCTAGCCTTCCAAATAAACCGCGCCAGCACTCCCGCACATGCGCAGAGGCAAAAGGCGCGACTACGGGGCGGAGCGCAGCATTTTCTTCTCTTTGATCTGCATAAAAAAAGGCGGGAACTAGCCGAGAAGCCGGGGAATGATGGGACGAGCCGAACTGCATGTCCCGCCCCCGCGGTCTCTTACTGGTGAGTATTTTTAGCACGTGGCAAAGGGGCACGTTTCATTGGCTGTCAGTCTCCCCGGGAACGTGCGCTGGACGCCGTGGCCAGCTCTCCCCCACCCCCCTGGCTGCCGACGTGGGGCTGGCGGCTGGAGGTGGTGGCGGCCGTGGTGACGCTCGCGAGTCGGGGGGCGGCATGGGGGGCCTGCGGCTGCTGGCGGTGGCCCTCACGTGCTGCTGGTGGCCGCAGGGCAGCCAGGGCAAGACCCTGCGGGGCCATTTCAGCAGCGCTGCGGCCCGAGACGCTCAGGGGCAGAGCATCGGTCACTTCGAGTTCCACGGTAGGTCCGGGGCGAGAGGAGGGGTGCGGGAGTGCGGGCCTGTCCGGCGGCCCTCCGGCTCGTGGACAGGCGGGGACCCCTCCCCGCCCCGCCTAGGCCTCACCTGCTCTGGCCGCCGCAGGCTCGGCGATCGGAGATGCCTCGGTTGTCAAACCCTCGGTTACGGCCTCCCCGACCTCTGTCTGCAGCCCCTCCAGATGAGGGATGCTGTCCTGCACCCCAAAGACCCTTTCCCTCCTGCTGACCACACACACGAATGCCTGGTCAGCGTCAGCCTTCCAGATTCTTCTCGCAGGGCATCATCGTTTTCTCACTCACTCTTCCTACACTGATGCTACGCTAAGGCATCGTAGCTGCGTGTGAATTTGATCCAAAGATCTTCGATTTCATGGCTGATCTTCCCCTTTCAAAGACCAATTTGACAGAACGTCTTGCAGCTAAGAGATTTTGAGACCAAGAAAAACCCCCGATAGTGTAGCTGTCACTGTCGCTGTAACGCATTGGTTACTCAGCTGCTATCTTAAGAGCTGTCGCGTTGGAAAGACTCATAGCTGAACCTCCAGCGAGTTTTCCAAAGATGTAAGTCACAGGAGAGGAGATTTGCACATCCTTCTCCCTTAGAGCCGCTGGTGGATTCGAACCTCACACCTTTGGATTGGCAGCGCTGCGCCTAGATTTATGTGAAATCATGAGGCTTGAAGAACAGATGTGTTTTGGGGAAGGTGCTGGCAGAGTGTTCCTTGGAGGCGCGGGTGATGAAGCATTGTCCTGCATGCTTAGAGCATGTTGCTAAGGAGAGGCTATTTCTTGGAGAGGGACATCATGCTTGGGAAGGTAGACGGGCGGTGAAGGAGAGGAACACCTCCAAGAAAATTAATTGACACAGGGACAGCAGCCATGGGCTGTGTCAGAGGTTGTGAAGATGGTACAGTATAGGACAGGCTTCAGATCTCTTGTTTATAGGGCCACTCATTGTGTGTTGTACTCGACTTGATGGCACCAAAAACCAGCCACACGAGGCCTAGTATTAAGTTTGGCAGAATGACTGTAATTAGGGCCCTCTTTGTAAATTTGCATCATCTCTGTCCCTACTGAAACCAGCTGCATTTGATCCTTACCTTTTGGTCTTCCTCCTGAATCAATAGTTCATATTTTCAGCTAATGAACTTGCAGTTCATTCTTATTTTGGCCTTGTAGTTGTTTAATGCCCGCCAATTGACTTCCACTCACGGCCTGTGAACAGCAGATCATTTATGTAGCTTTATGTATTGTTAAGTGCCCTCAGGTCAGAACTGGCTCATAACTGACCCTCCAGTAGGTTTCCAGACTTTTTAAATTGCACACACCTGCAGATGGCCCATCCTCCTTCCGTAGGGGGTGGCTGGTGGATTTGAACCTCATATGCCTTTTGGTTGGCAGTGCAACTCCTTACAACCAAGTCATGAGAGCTCCTCTATGTATTTGTTGTGTGTGCTGTCGTGTCTACTATGACTCGGTGACCCTGTGAGGACTCAGTGACCCTATCAACAGTGGCTCTGACCCTTGCTCTTTGCTGAGCCAACCTCCTTGTCTCCGACACACCTGACCCCTTGCCACAGTCACTGTGTCAATCCATTTCATCCAGGGGCTTCCTCTTCTAATGACCTTCTGCCCTTCCAAGCATGATGATTAGCCTCAAAATTAAAATGATTTGCTTGGTACTCCTCCTGGTACTTCTCAGTTTAACTAGCACTATATTCTTGGTAATTTTTGCTTTAACGAGTTAGGGTTCAATCCATACAGAATTAGAATTAAAAGATATAACTTTAAAGCTCAGAATATTGGCCTAGTGGGATGTTTAAAAGGAACTTAAAAAGTATGAGTGGAAGTTTCAGATTGGGGATGTTAAAAGAGGAGTACATGATTTTTTTTCCTCCCAAGTTTTTGAGATAACAGAAAAATAGATGCAGTCCAATTACAAAATACACCTTATGTGAATGAAGATGAAACCATCAATGTTGAGTTTATTATTTTTTAAAAATTTTATTATTTTTTGTGTGTGGATCTGACTGGTACAGGAGGAGATTGCCCCTTCTTCTCCAGAAGAGCATCTGGTGGATTCTAACCTCGTACCTCTGGGATTGCAGTGCAAGGAGTTTTATTATTCTTTTGGGTGCAGGAGGCCCCATTTTTCACATGACTCTCTGTTTGATACAGAGATTTATAGATGGTATGATGCAGGTGAGTAGCCACAGTGATGGTAATGTCACTGCCCTAGTACAGTCTGAAATGGTTATGATGCCCACTAGCTCAGACAGGGATTACTCAGGGCCAGCAGAGCCACTTAACTCCACTCTTGTATGGATTACCTGGTAAGCACAGAGGAGAAACACATGTACTGGATCCAGACAGCTCAAGAAAGACTGGGGAGTAAGATATTCTGAGTATATCTGCATATTTGTTGTTGCTCTGTGCTGTTGAATCCATTATGTATGACCTGTGTGTATTAGTTATGGGCATTCGCCAGTGAATTCAGGTTCAGAACCTTGAAGGCACTTGTTGTTGTTTAATGCTGTCGAGTCGTAGACGACTCATAGCGACCCTATGAACGAACAGCCTGAGCACTGCTCGTACATAGAGTTTCCGGAGGCAAGCCATTTTGGAAGTGGATGCCGCTCCTGCTTCCAGGCTTGATTTAGTCGGGAAGCTCCAGCCAACACTGTCCACCATGGGTGCCCATTACCACGATTGGCACATCACTGTCACAGGCTTCAGCATCACAGCAACCACGAGTTACCTCTGTACAGCAACGCACAGACCAGTGCTATACCACCTAGAAGAATGTTTGACAGGAAGACAATTTGAACCTGGCCGAGGGCCACAGATGACAGTCACCCACCTTCGGCTTGGTAGCACAGCTTCCTTCCACTAGGCCAACGTAGCTCTCTCGGTCATCATCATTGTTACTGTTGTTTAATGCCGTCGAGTCGTAGACGACTCATAGCGACCCTATGAACGAACGGCCTGAGCACTGAAGGCACTTAAACTATCCTAAAATAATGAATCTTGACAAACAACACACTTTCTGACTCAGGGCTTTCAAGTCGCTGTCCACACGTTTGCATCTTTCTCCCTTGGGGCCCCTGGTGGGTTCAGACCTCTAGAGCATTAGAGGATTCTGGAGACTGGAAGAGGCGAGTAGTGTAACTTTTCATTAATTAGAAGCACACTGTGGACTGTTGTTATGCAGCGTAACTCCCCAAGCAACGGGTTTCCAAAGAGAGGTTCCACTAAGCTACCAGAGAGAGTTCCCTTCACATCCTGTTGCTCCACCAGAACTCCTTATACTACGTTTTAAGACTTGCTATTTACGTGGTAAATCAACTGATGTAAGAAACCCAACCATGTGTTCCGTTATTTAAATATGTGATATATGTTTAAATTCATTTAAAATGTTTATTTAGCCACGTATTTTTTCTGTTTTTATTATTAATGATTTTTAATGCAGCATATATGTGTTTTTACAGCATATTCTTTCCATTTAATTTTAACCCCATTCATTCATTGTTGCATATTTTTCTCCCTTCCCATACCTCCCCCAAGTTCATTTTTTTCTTTGAAAAGATAAAAATAAAAATTCTTTCATTGTGATACAATCCCCTCCCAAGTCCACAGTCTATTTTACTATGCATTTCTTTTTCTGTAATCTTGTTATGAAAATAATACCTAATCCTATATTCCTTTTAAACAGTTCTCTCCCTCATCTGTTTCAGTGCAGTCTACATTAGTTATCCCCTCTTTTCTTAGGTTCCTCCCAACCCCGATGTCAGACGCTCTTTACAACAGAGACACATGATATTTAAAGTAACAAAAATTAAGGGGAAAAAATTGCAGGAGAACAGAAAATGCCAATCACCTGCCTCACTTCTCACCCAGAGCCTCTGCCCTCACCTTTTTGCCAGGTTCATTCTTTATTCATTTCAACACACATTGTTTTGAAATTTCTTTTGTAAAAATAACATTTAATTTTGCTTTAGATACTGTTTACCCAAATGCTTCTATTTCAACTTGTAACTAATGAGGTTTATGTCTTTCATTAAAGGGATAGTTGAATATTAAAAGCCATGTTGTATTTATTAGAAGACACTACAAACTGACGGGTCATTTCTATAGATTATAAACAAGCACTGATGATAGACAAAGTAGTTGTAAAAGGAGACAAAAGTTCCGTTACATTAAATACCCATGTACTACAGATATTTATTCAGTGACATGTTATCAACTGAATTGTAAGGAAACACCACACATTAATTTTTATAATTATGTGCCGTCGAGTCAGAACAGACTCATAGCTGACACTCCAGCGGGTTTTCAAAGACAGTTAATCGCCTGGGAGGAGATTGACTGCCCATCTTCCTCCTGCAGAACAGTTGGTGAATTGGAACCATTCGCCTTTTTTTTTTTTAAAGTACACATCAATCTTTTTGTCTCTTTTTTTTTCTTTTAGTTTTTTTTAATTTTATTTTATTATTTTTGTGTGAGTGTACCGTCAAATCAGGTCTGACTAGTACAGGAGGAGATTGTCCCTCCTTCCCCGGCAGAGCATCTGGTGGATTTGAACCGTGCACCTCTGGGATTGTAGTTGCAGCTCCTTGCCACTAGGCCACCAGAGCTCCCCAACCATTCGCCTTTAGGATTGCAGCACAGCTTCTTACCACAAGGGCTCATCATTTTTATAATTTGCATAATGTCTGTTTGCATTTGAATCCTTCTTATGTGATTTATCCTGATGTAATTTGAGTGAAAATAACCCTCAAACTCATTGCCATTGAGTCGGATCCTACTCATACCTGACCCTCTAGCTGATTTTTCAAGGCTGTAAATCACACGGGAGGAGATTGTCCAGGTGAATTTGAACTCCTAGACTCCTAGAGACCTGCCGCCTTTGGCTTAGTACCACCCCCTGTAGACGAACTTGCATTTTGATGACTGCTGTTAGGTGTTGACAAGTCAGTTCTGACTATAGTGACCGTATAATAGAATGAGACACTGCCTGGTACGGGGCTTGGCGCCTGGGACTGTCCGTCTTTGGTGCTGGGACCGTCCATCCTTGGTGCTGGGACCATTAGTGCAGCTGCTACATCAGTTGAAGATCTCCTGACCCTTTACTGAGCATGATGTCCTTCTCCAGGGATAGAGCCTTCCCAGTAGCCTGTCATGTGTATGCATTCTTGAGAAATAAAACTATTAAAAAACAAGTTCTAGTAGCTTAGTCCACGTGAAGATGAAGTTTTTCTTCTAACTCAGAGGTCCCTCCCTAGTGGCTCGAATCCACTAGCAGCTTCGCAGAAGAAAGATGGGAAGTCTTCCTGTGTGATTTACAGCCCAGGAAAACCCAGTGGAGAACCAACCAGCCAGGCATTGGTTCCTACTGGAAGGCAAGGACACGACCATCTCGGTTCCATTGGTGACTGGACTTGTCTTTATAGTTTTGTTTTTTATCATCCAGGTGACCACGCCCTCCTGTGTGTCAGAATCAACAACATAGCCGCGGCAGTTGGCAAAGAGGCTAAGCTCCACCTGTTTCAAGCTCAGGAATGGCTTAAGTTGCAGGAAGGCCCCCACGGGTATAGTTGTAGTGAGAAATTATCCAAGGCTCAGTTGACAAGTAAGTATAGAATCTGTTTTCTTTCCTCATTAGATGGGTTTTTATCCGCTCGTCGCCCTTAAAATGTAACATTTACATGTGGGGATGTTTGATGGATGGTGATGACAGAGTCCACCTCATACTAGGTGCTGCTTTGTTTACTTGGATTTAAGCCAAGGTTTAGGGAATCCAACTTTCTTAATCAAAAGACAGAATTCCTTTCCCCCTTTTCTCATTCAGAAAGAAATCTTACAAAAAAGAATCACATAAACCATAAACAGGTACCTAATTAAAACTTTCCATTCCAATACAATCTTTATGTGAACCTGGTAGACCTATTTTCACCCATGGACAGAATGTTGTTATTAATGTTCAACATCGAGTCTGAGCTGACCCATAGCTGGTCCTCTGGCAGGTTTGCAGAGGCACTGATCTCATGGATAGAGTAAATCATATTTGTGGTATGTATATTCTCTTTCGGGCACTGGATTTCGTACAGAATATTTATTTTCTCCTTTAGTTCAATACTTTGGCCTAATCAAGGGAGCTCTGGTGGTCTAGTGGCAAGAAGCTGCACTGCTATCCCAGAGGCGCTCGCTTTGAATCCACCAGATGCTGTGCTGGCGAAGGAGGGACAATCTCCTGTACCGGTCAGATTCGATTTGATGGCACACATGTAAAATAATCTTAAAAAAAAAAAAGTAGCCTAATTGGTGTTTTTTACCACGTTATGGGCACCAGCAGACCTAATCACTTGGTGCAGAATGTGCCATTTTGAACCATATTCCCACCACCGTGTCATCTGTAACCGTCTACCTTTGCTTCTAGGTGGGCTCTTCTTTCCTTGTCCTTATATACTTGCTGAATCTTTAACTCCTCCATTGTCACCAGTGCAAATATGGCGTCAGCCATTTAGACTGAGTATAACTTACACAGAGAGAGAGAGGTAAATGAAAAACGTGCAGTCATATCCACACTGCTTCTTGGAAGTGAATTCTTCGGGGGAGAGTTAGGAAATCTGTCGTGGTTCCACTGGTGGAGTCAGACCATCCCGTGTGACTCCCAGGGAGAAGGTTGCCCACCTCCATCCCGTGGAGCCAGTGGTGATTTGAAAGGCCAGAGCAGTGCCACTCCCTACAGACTGTGCCGCCGGGAGACCCTCTCCAGACAGATGAGTCCATATGATTACTCTCTAACTCTTAACCTGAGGGCTTGGTGCACAGGCTGGTGACCAGCTGCCTTTTCCTTTCTGCACGGATTTCCTCCTTTAGTCTAGCCCTGCTCAGTGGAGTTGTGCACCTAACCCATGGACGGCACCGTCTGGTGCTTCAAACCTGCCAGCAGCAGCTCCTCGGGACAGCAGTCGGCAGTCCCTTCCTCTGTGAGTCACACCCTTGGAAAACCACTGAGCATCGGCTGTCAGTGGGTTCCACCTTGATGGCTGTGAGTGTATCAGGTCCCAGTTCTTCCAGTGTCCAAAACTGAGCTCTTCATGCCGTCTTCATGCCACAGCTGCCCTCTACGTGATGACTCTACTGTATGCTGACTGAACCTTCTGCACCTCAGATTTGACCATGCACTTGACTTCCTCACCACATTGTAGTCAGCTTGCCCGTAGTGCTTCAGGCTCTCCTGGGCCTTTGCTGCCTCTTTTCGTCTGCCTTTTCTTCCAGAGCCTCTTTGGAGAAATAATTTTTCTGTCTTTATTCATTTTCAATACCATATTTCTTTAATGTTTTAAAAAAACCATTTTCAGAGCAATCAAATAACATTTTAAAAGACTGAAAATGGTGAGTGTATAGTTCTATCTTTTAAGAAAAATTAACAAAAGAAATTCAGAATCATTTGTTGTCATATTTCCAGAGCTAAATATCATTTTTTATATAACACATTTTCAGTATTTTTCATTTTAAGCATGTGTTTTATTTTGTATATTTACATTTTGGTAAATAAAGTTGTTAGGGTTTTCTTTATGTGTTGCGGTTCACACCATTCATTTGCTTTTACAATATGTGTGTGCAATTAGCCATTCACCACCATTCTCTTCAATTCAAGTTTTGTTATTATTTGAGGTAGTAATTACTCTGACACAGAATATGCCTGCTGTGTTGTAGTCTTTTGTTTGGAAAACAATGAGCACGTAGATTTGTCTAGAAGCTCGTTTCCCAAGCCTGCTGAAAGACAAAAAGCAAAGGCCCATGTTATTTTAATGTAGCACACTGTGTTTCTGTCTGATGCAGATCCCCACAATTTAACATGAAATACCAGAAAGTAGTTGTTGTTGTTGTTATGTGCTGTCGAGTCGCTTGCGACTCATAGC